TTTTTTTTTTTTTTTTTTTTTTTTTTTTAAAGAAGTTTTATTGTTTTTAAAGTGCCTCCCACCTAGGGCTAGGCCATGACCACTTTGGGTATGAGAGTCTAATTTCATGGGACTCAGTCTTGCAAAGTGCAGTCACTTCTGGAAATTAACCTCAATGCAGGTCAGCATGTGAAATGTTAGTTTTGACATCAAGTAGGGTTCAGGGACTTACTGGTCCCATTGGCCCGGAGATCAGTTGTCCTTTAATTTCAAGATCTGTTACAACTGGTTTTATTAAATCAGAGTCTTTAATTGCATGTTTGTATCTAATTTTTTTAAAAAAATGAGCACACTTTAACCAATGACTTAAGGTTACCCTTTTCTTTTTCCTTTAACCAGATTCTGAAAGCTTCATGTATTTTAATTTAGATTTGGTGTTTTTAGGGGTTCTGAGCATGAGGTTAACAGGTAATCTCTGCAGGATTCATTTTTTTCATCATGGATTCCTAACAGTATTTTGTTATCTTGCTTCCCTGCAGTTTTGTTATCAGCTGTTTTACTTCGAGCTGAGGTGGGAGGGGCAAGGAAAAGGCATCTTCCTTCAGGAAGAAATTCCATCAGTTTGGGCTTTGAATCTTAAAGCATTGTGCCTAGTGGTACCTAGTGACTTTCAACCAGGGCCTGTGAGTGGGCACTGAGTTGGTAAGATGAATGGAGAGGAGGAAGGAGGCCTCTTTATTTTTAGGGTAGAAACCTTTAACTGATAGAAGACCTAAGAAGGCTAAGGGGAAGGGAAGAGCTCTACAAGATGCTGTATAAAACAGTTTAAAGTCACTTGGTTTTCTCTTTAAGTACATTTTGTACTCTAGTGGACAATTCTAGCATTTATTTGGAGGATTTCAGTGTCAATCTATGGAATCAGGATTTTTAGCAAGTTTGCTTGTGGTTTTATCTTGGCTTATAATAATCATTTTGGCTGGTCTGGTCACAGATGCTAACCATGAAACAGATGTCCAGGCCTGTACCTTCATCATTCTAGGATGGTAAAGTGCTATGCTCTCTTCTATGGTTATGAATATTTATTAAGGTTGGAATGACATTTCATTGATTGTTCAGATCACAGCTCAGTTCCTGTAGAAAACGAACTGTAAAACTATCTGAAGACCATGCAAGAGGCAAAATAAAACTTGAAGTGAATGTGTGTGGTGGTGTACTGTGTAAACCTACTTCCTGTTTCTGCTCTGTACCTTTTCTCATGCCTTTCATGTCTCACAAGCATCTTCCATAGCCGTTCACGTTGGGGGATGCACCTTCCTATTCCCGTCTCCAGTAAAAAACTTCCTTCCAGATTTTCTTCATGGCAAGGTAAAAAAGGAAGACTAGTTCTCGGCCAAGCCACCCTCCTCCCACAGTTATATCCTGGGTGGGAGTTAGGGCCGCTAGTTTGAATGCGTTCCCTCCCATCTAGTAGGATAAGGAACACACTTTGCCTGATTGGTCAAAAGGTGAGAGGTGGGGGTGGGGGAGTTGCCCAAATTATGGGACATACTAATGGTGGAAGGGTGTTCTGGGCTGCAATTATAAGCTTCAAAGTACGTCTGCCAGAAGTAGCCGCTATCTGCACATTGAAGCTAACATCCTTTCCTAGCAAGCGCCGGCCTCCAACCAGCATATTAAGCTCAATAAAGAGAAGCCTTCTAGATAGTGAACTTCTCTGGTCGTTAAGAGCAGGAAGCATAGACGCATATTGGAAAGAGGGCCGAGTGGTTCCATGGTTCCAGTAGAAAATAAACCCATGGGTAAAAAGTCTTCCTTCAGGAGCCTCGGCTCTCTTGGAGGAAAGGCAAGGCAAGTAGCGTATTTCCTTTGCTTTTATGAGGAAAACGCTGCCTTGAAACTCGCCTTTACTAGGGGAATTGGAAAGGTTTCTGTTTTTGTATTCTCCCTTTGACGAAAACTTGCCCTGGATTGGGGGAGTGGAGACAGCAGAGGGTGCGAGGAGCTAGAGAAAATGGAGGCAGGAGCCGCCCTCAGAGAGCCGTGGTCATGGAAGTGCGGAAGGACATTAACATTAAGAAATCCATGCTTCTCTGACCCTTCCATGCAGTCCCGACACACAGATTCGACCAGAGGCCACCGGCCCCCGGGGGAGAAAGCCCTAGGTCCGGTCGCGCCTCGTCCCTCCTCTCTCAAGTGCCAGCGGCTCCTTTAATGGGCGGGGCCGGAACACGCTGCGAGTCCCTCGCTTTATACGTGTCGGGGGGCGGAGCTTCCAGACGGCCCTAGCAGCATGGCCGCCGGCGCCGCCGCCGCTTTAGCGTTCCTGAGTCAGGAGAGCCGAGTCCGGGCCGGGGGGGTCGGGGGTCTGCGGGTCCCGGCTCCGGTCACTATGGACAGTTTTTTCTTCGGTATTGAGGAAAAGAGGGGAAGAGGGTGGTGCTAGGGCGGTCAGGGGCAGAACAGGAATGCAGATGAGTACACGACGTGGGTTGAGGCGGAGGGGGCCCGGTGCGCGGCAGACCAAGCGGGAGGGGGTGGCGCGACCGCTGTCCCAGATGTGCCGGGCGGAGCCCAGGACAGAGCGCCCCTGGTGTTCCTGAGAAGTGGGTGCGTAAATGGCCGGTCACACCATGGCTGCACGTGACAGAGGTTTGGTGGAACGCCCCCCACGCACACTCAGGCACGTTCACACTGTTCCCTCTTCCAGGCTGTGAGCTCTCCGGCCACACCCGCTCTTTCACCTTCAAGGTAGAGGAAGAGGATGAATCGGAGCATGTGCTGGCGTTGACCATGGTGAGGGGCGGGGAAAGGTGGTGGTGGTGAATCGCTGGACCTGAGCAGGCAACTCGGGGGGGCCTCCAACCGCCACCCCCAATCCCTTTACTGGGAGTTCGCTCCTCTGCCTAACTCCCACATGGGCAGCTTTCCTGGCTGAGTGATCCAGGGATCACTGGGGTGGGGCAAATTATAGGGTCGATGCCTCCACAAGGATTGTGGTGTCAATCCTTGCTTGGGGAGACCCCAGGGTTCTGTGTACTCTTCCCAGCTCTGCCTCACCGAGGGGGCCAAAGATGAGTGTAATGTGGTAGAAGTCGTTGCCAGGAATCATGACCATCAGGAGATTGCAGTCCCTGTGGCCAATCTCAAGTTGTCCTGCCAACCCATGGTGAGTTCTCAGGCATATGTTGAGGTGGTGGTGGCGGTAGTGATAGTGGTGGTTGTTAGGAATTGAGGACCCAAGGACACAAAATGGGGTGGGCCAGGCCTTCATCCTTGTCTTTCTTCCAGCTCAGTTTGGATGACTTCCAGCTCCAGCCACCTGTAACCTTCCGCCTGAAGTCAGGTTCTGGCCCTGTGCGCATCACTGGGAGGCACCAGATTGGTGAGAGTCTTCTCCTTTGTCTAGTGGGTTCTGCCATCGAGTTTCTCTTCCCACCGCCGCCCTCTACACTCCTGCCCCATCCTATCCTTATCTCCTAGTGGAGCTTCCATACAGACTATGTGTGATGTATCCTCCACTTTTTGTCCTACTTAAGCCTACCTCCTGCATGAAACCTGTCTCAGCTTCTCCACCTGCACTAACGTGGTCTTCTTTGGCTCTTTGTCATCTCTCATTTAGTATCTGAAGTTCTTCCCACCTAGACCATAAGCTCTGGGAGATCAGGATCCCTGGCACCACAGGGCATGAATAAATGACATGTGGTATGAAGGGGGTCTGGCTTTAACCTCCTCCTCTTTTACTGCTTATGTATCTACCAGTTACTATAAGCAATGACGTTTCTGAGGAAGAAGAGAGTGAAGAAGGGAGTGAGGAGGAGGAAGCTGAGTTGTGCCCCATCCTACCTGCCAAGAAGCAGAGGGGCAGGCCCTAGCCTTGGTGAGTGGGGAGAGGGGTGTCCAGCAAGGTCTGGGATGGGGCAGGAGGAGCACGTGAACACGGCCTTGATGTTGACCCCTTGTTTGCTCTCCCTCAGGTCAGCTAGCTGCCTGCTACGTGTGCCATGCACTATGTTCCTGTACAAGTTTCAAGAGATTTAAATGTGTCTTCTCCGTTGAAGAGGAGGGATGGATGGGTGGGTGGGTGGGGTCTTGGGCTGGTGCTTGGAGAGAGGGTGGTCCTATTCTTCATAAGGGCCCTGGTGTTTCTCTAATCTTATGCCATATCTGGGGCTTCCCTTTTCTCCAGGAGTGGGAGGAACTCTGAACTTCTCTCCTGACCCTGTCTCCCCACTTGCCTGTGAGATTGGAGGTCAGCATCTGAAGCTCAGGACTACACATTTTTAATACTTTTTACATTTTTGGATAAAGGCTGTAATAAAGTGATGTGGAGGTTTTTTTGCAAAAAAAAAAAAAAAAAAAAAAAAAAAGACTGTGCCTGGGTGGCGCAGTCGGTTAAGTGTCCGACTTCAGCCAGGTCATCCGCGATCTCCTTGGTCTGTGAGTTCGACGCGTCGCTGAGGCTCTGGCTGATGGCTCAGAGCCTGGAGCCTGTTTCCGACTGTGTCTCCTCTCTCTGCCCTCCCGTTTCATTCTGTCTCTCTCTGTCCCAAAAATAAATAAAAAACGTTGAAAAAAAAATTAAAAAAAATAAATAAATAAATACACTAAAGCTTGAATTTAAATGGCTATATAAGACTAGGGGCTACCATGTTGCACAGTGCAGCTTTAGATTTAACCATGAAGCACAGAAGGAGGACAAAAATGTTCAACTAATATGGAAATGGAATCAATAAAATCACGACTGAGGAAAATACACAGGAAAAATGATCCAGTTCCTTCAACAAGTGTCAGGATAGTGATTACCCTAGTGGTGGGGAGGGAAGAAGGCATAATGAGGAGGGGGAATACAGTGGGCTTCTAAAGTGGATAGCAAGGTTCTGTCTCTTTCATGGGTGGTATTATAGTATCATAATAATTTATAATTCATAAAATTGTACATGTTTTAATATTTAATGTATTTGTGCAATAATAAAATGGTTACACTTTTACAATTTCTATATGGAAAGAGAATATAAAAATGTCAGAAAACTAGTTCTAATGTCTGTTCCCTCTAGCTATGAGAAGTTGTTAACACTTAAATAGCTTTAGGTCTTCTCCTTCTTAGGCCCTAAGCACACATGCACACACGGAACTTAACCTAAGAATACTAAGAGGAAGACCCTAAATACCTTTACCTAGCATAAAATAATGATGTGCAAATACAGCATGAACGATTTATATACAAATAGATGTTTAAAGATTGAGACCCTTGATGGGGCGCCTGGGTGGCGCAGTCGGTTAAGCGTCCGACTTCAGCCAGGTCACGATCTCGCACTCCGTGAGTTCGAGCCCCGCGTCAGGCTCTGGGCTGATGGCTCAGAGCCTGGAGCCTGTTTCCGATTCTGTGTCTCCCTCTCTCTCTGCCCCTCCCCCGTTCATGCTCTGTCTCTCTCTGTCCCAAAAATAAATAAACGTTGAAAAAAAAAAAAAAAATTTAAAAAAAAAAAAAAAGATTGAGACCCTTGAAAACAATTTATTGTCACAGTTTAGTGAATCTCTACACAATTGCCATAGTATTAACATATTAAATTATTTTTTCAACATGAAAGGAAATTTTAGCCTAAATTTAGTTTTATTTGTTCTGAATTAGCCCAATAAGATTTGCTATACCACTTCTATCAGAATAAAGGCACATCTACTCTCTACCTTTAAACTTAAAGAATGCTAAGTTTCTCAAGGATCCATATAAGAGTGAAAACATATGGTATCTGTCTTTCCCTGTACGACTTATTTCACTTAGCATAGCACTCTCCAGTTCCATCCACGTTGCTACAAAAGGCCATATTTCATTCTTTCTCATTGTTATGTTTTCACTCTTATGTGGATCCTCAGAAACTTAACAGAAGACCATAGGGGAGGGGAAGGGAAAAAAAAAGTTAGAGAGGGAGAGAGCCAAGCCATAAGAGACTCTTAAAAACTGAGAATAAACTGAGGATTGATGGGAAGTGTGAGGGAGTGAAGGGTGGGTGATGGGCACTGAGGAGAGCACCTGTTGGGAGGAGCACTGGGTGTTGTATGGAAACCAATTTGACAATAAATATCATATTAAAAAAAAAAAACAACTTAAAGAATGCTATGATGTAGTAGTGATTCTTGTTCTAAAGAAAAATGGACATACTTTTCATTTTGTAGTTCCTGTATTTTCTTTAAATTTTCTCTGTTTTTTTCTTCAATTTCTTCCTTAAGTTCCTTTACTTGGGTTTTATAAAGTGTCTGCAAAACAAGTGATTAGAAGAAATAAGTGTTTATGAGGAGTTTGGTAGTTTCCTATAAAGTTAAACAACATATGATCCAACAATTCCACTCCCAAGTATTTACCCAAGACAAATGCAAATATGTATCTATATAAAATCTTGTCAATGAATTTTCACAGCAGCTTTATTTCAAATTGTAAACAGATGAATGCAATGAAAAGGAATTACTACTGATACAAACAACATGATAAACCTAAAAAATATTGTGCTGAAAGAAACCAGGTGCTAAAAAGTACATATTGCATGATTCCATGTACATGCAACCCTAGAACAGGTGACAATAATCAATTGTGACAGAAAGCAACTAAGCGGTTACTTGCAAATAGAGGTAAGTGGAGCAGATTGACTATAAAAGGCCACTAGGAATTTATGGTGAAGGAAAAGTTTTATATGTTGATTGTTGTGGTGGTAACACAGCATATAGATTTGTCAAAACTCATCAACACATACACTTATAATGGTTACAATGAAGTATATAGAAATTATATCTCAAAAACATTAAAAGTTATATTGGTTTGGGAAAACATTATAAAGAAACTTAGCAAGTTTACTCATTTAAAAGATCAATTCTTTTTTTTTTTTTTTTAATTTTTTTTAACGTTTATTTATTTTTGAGACAGAGAGAGACAGAGCATGAACGGGGAACGGGCAGAGAGAGAGGGAGACACAGAATCGGAAGCAGGCTCCAGGCTCTGAGCCATCAGCCCAGAGCCCGACGCGGGGCTCGAACTCACGGACCATGAGATCGTGACCTGAGCCGAAGTCGGACGCCCAACCGACTGAGCCACCCAGGCACCCCTAAAAGATCAATTCTTGAAGTGAATAATGCTAGAGAAACCACTTCTCTTTTGGGTGGGTGGGATTGAGTGGATGGTTGAGAGATGTACATAAAATACCCACAAACAAGATTTATCAAACGTTCTGTTAACACACAAATAATATATATTTATTATAAAACAATGATTCTTACAAAATTCATTCGGCTTCTGCCAACTCTATCAACAAATATTAATTTTTTTTTGAGAGAGAGAGAGTGCACAAGCAGGGGAGGGGCAGAGAGAAAGAAGGACAGAGGATCTGAAGCGGGCTCTGCTCAGAGAGCAGAGAGCCCAACCGTGAGGCTCAAACCCATGAACTGTGATATCATGACCTGAGCCAAAGGCAGATGTTTAACCAACTGAACCATCCAGGTGCCCTTCTAACAACAAATATTTAACAGGTGTAAGTGTTAGACCTATATTGTGTTAGGGTGCTGTGGTTACAGAGTAAACTTCTAGTTCTGCAGTCCTTTTTTAAACTATCCCTTTTAGTATAAAAGATAAGGAAAAAAATAGTAAGGACCAGAAAACAGCTGTCGAGAACTATCCTTCTAAGAAATAGCACTTCTCTAGGAGAAAAATACATACATTTCTTATCTATCATTTACCTACCTACCTACCTACCTACCTACCTACCTACCTACCAGAAACAGAGAGCAAGCAGGGGAAGGGCAGAGAGACAGGAGACAGAGAATCCTAAGCAGGCTCTGTGCTGTCAGTGCAGGACTAGATGTGGGGCTTGAACTCATGAACCACAAGATCATGACCTGAACTGAAACCAAGAGTCAGACACTAAACTGACTGAGTCACGCAGGTACCCCAAAGATACATTTATTTCAATGGGAATGTAAATAAAAGAGGACTGATAGCTTGCTTTAGTTTGTAAGTGGTCACAATTTCTAAAAAGAAGTAATTCATTTTGCCTTTAGGAATCAAAATTCCTATCTCTTTGACTTCTGATACTGAAATCTGTATGTATAATCAATGAAAGGATAAATAGAAAAAAATACTCTGATTTGAAAGACCGGATTAAAGAATATCTTATATCTGGTCATAATAGTTTATCAAATTTACTGATACTTAACTCAATCCTCACAAGTAATGAACTAAATCAGAAAGAAGAGACAGTGTCAAGTTTTATATTACTTTATACAGACAAATTTAAGAATCCATAGGAACACCACAAGTCATCTGACATCCATCCCAAAATGTGGAGGCATTGGATGATTACTTTGTGAAAGTATATGGACAAGAAAGTGTGCATGATGTTATAGACCATTTTGCAGAAGTCAGTACTACACACTTTGAACAATTAAGGTTAATCTCTACCCAGGGAAAGATTTTCAATAATACTGAAATTTTTTAAATTTAAAAACATTATTTCAGTGATAGTCTAACAAGTCAAAGTAGGAGATGAGCAGAGTACAGCATGAAGCTCTAAACATGGGAAAGTTCTGTAGAGCTCTAAAGGTGTTCAGATGCAAAAAATTTCCTTTTTGAGTTTATTTATTTATTTGAGAGAGAAAGCGTGCTTGTGAGCATGAGTGGGGGAGGGGCAAAGAGGGAAAGAGAATCCCAAGCAGGTTCTGCATTCCTTGCTGAGCCTGACCCATGGCTCAATCTCAGCACTGTGAGATCATGACCTGAGCCTAAATCAAGAGTCGGAGGCTTAACCAACTGAGCCATCCAGGTGCCCTGGTATTCAGATTCTTTATTAATTCATTAATAAATCATTAGTTCCAATACCGTTCACTTGGTTTCTAGGGCATGTTCACTAGCATAACTAGAACTCTCTAATTTAACTGCACTAAAACTTGTAGGAAAAGTGGCTGCCAGGTGTAACAGTAATGGAGAAGCTAGGTAAATGTCAAGTTGAAATGGTAGCATATAAACTTGGCAACCAAAAGAAATAACACTGCAGAACCTTCACTACCTTCAATCTCAAAGAATTAGCTATGAATGTTAATCAATACTAGTAGTGAAAATAACCTGGCCTGCAGCAAATAAGAGTTAGAATGACTTCTATGGAAAAAAAAGCAAAATAGATACATAAAGTGAATAAAAAGAGCTAAAACCAAAA